AAACTTACTAATTGTCTGTGCAAATAACCCTTCAGAGGAGAGCTGTTTCCCATTTGAGCTTTCTGAACAATTTCTCTTGTTCTCCCAAGTGCAACAAACTTGTCCAAGAGGCACAAAAGGGAGGAAAGACCATTTCCACACATTCCCTAAAACCCTATCAGAAAAACAGCTTCTTCCAATACAGCATTTCAAAACAGGCAGCTGTCCTGTTCTGTTGGGTCTCCCTGCTGCTGGCAGGGTGTTGTGCTGAGTTCAGATTGCCCCTGATGGCAGGACTCTGCTTTGCCCTAGGTTCAGCATTGCTGCCTTCACCAAATACGACCCAATAGCCCCTGCAGTGACGTTCACCATGTTCTCAGGTAAGAAGGAGAATGCCATCTTCCCTACATGGCTGTTTAGGTTAGAGATAATTAACAACCTGACAATGGCAAGCCAGAGGGAGATCATAGGCTGTAGCAAATATAATAAATAGAGTAAATACAGCCATTTACTGACTTACATCTGTCCATTCTACCTCTTTTTTATTCCAGCTGCTGGATCTGGTGCAGACACAAATCCTCTCTCAATGCCAATAATTGCTGGAATTATCTTGGGATTTCTCTTGACACTTGCAGCTATTTTTGCTTTGGTGTACTGGAAACAGCTCAGAGCAAAGAGGTGAGGATGAGCCATCTCTTACCTGGTGGGTGTAGGGTGAGAAACCCAACCTTCAGTGCCAGGCCAGGAGGAGGAGCAGTAAGATGATATAAAAAGATATTTAGGCAAACTAGGACACCCACTAGTGGAGTTAGTTGTGCCTGGCAAGCACAGAAGCAAAAGGCAGAGGGGGAAGGGCAGCTTCCCATGTGCAACTGATTCACAGAACCCTACACGTATGCAAGGCAGTGTGCCTGATGTAAGCTGTCTGCTCATAAGCGCTCCATGAGCCAGCAGTATGCTGTATGCTCACAGCATCTGTCCCTGCATGAGTAACATCTCCCATGCTTTAATTCTAGAACCAAAAAGAGCAGCCTGCCCCAGGAAATGGTGACCTACAGCTTGCGGTGAGTGCCAGAGTCTTCCCTCTATGTGTGTCCCCACTGCAGGTTCCAGAGTCCTTCACCTACTTCCTTTCTCATGCTTTGACTAGGAAAAATCCAACTCTGTCTCCTCTCCTTCAGTTACTTTTTAAATCTTAGGCTTTCCCATGTTCAGTATTTATTGCCCAGCTCCATTTCAAGCCATTGCATTGTCCACACCTCCTCTGCAAGGCTTCTGCAGTAGGAGAATATCATCATCCTGAAATCCCTCCCAATATTTAAACAATGTTCTGTTGGACCCACTTCCCTGGGCAATGACGTGGTTATAAATGAACCCTGTGTGTGTGCATCCAGGTGCTAAAGGTCTCAAGGCAGGGCTGTCTCATTGGCCATGTGACTGGCCTACCAGACCTCCCAATAGCTAAGGCAAGTTTTCCTCTGGACTTCATTTCATGCAGAAACGTCCATCGGCCAATTCCCATACAGAACTTCAAGCAGTACTATGAGATGAAGACAGCAAGTGCTAACCACGCTTTTTTCCAGGAGTTTGAGGTAAGATGAGACTCCTGCTAGAGATGAAACACCATTTCCCCTCTAGGTAGCTCATGTCCCAGCTGTTGGGTGGCCTGTGACCCATCCCTTTAGCAAACCAACCACCCTGCAAGGCAGTCTTGGGGCCCAAAGGTTGGATGGACCAAATGATCAGGCAATTCCTTTGTGCAAAACCAGTTTTGTTCATGTTCTGGTAGAAATGTATATTGTCTGTGGTGTGAGGTGAACTAGCACTGTCCATAGCTGCTGGTGGACAAAGCTAAGGGCCCCAGGCCTGAACTGGAGGAGAAGATGCTGAGTGGTGTTGCAATGACATCCACTTCGACAGTGTTACAAAAGAGCCTGCAGCCAAAAGGAAGGTTGAGGAGCACTCCCAGAGTTATAGGGCCAGGCTGTGAAATCCACCTCAGGCTATCTTCACTAGCTCCCACTGCCAACATCTGCAGGGTCTGAATTGTTCTGCTGCCAGCACCTTTGAAAGACCCATCAGCAATTTCTAACCTTCCTCAGATCAACCTTCTCTGGCCTTCTGAGTGAGGACAGAGGCAGAAGCAGCACAAGATCTTTCTGTCTTCTCAGCACAAGTTGTTTCTGTTTTCTTAGCACAAAATGCTCTGAGCTTCTTGGTAGATTTGTGATTTCTGAGGTTTTTTCCCCAATGCTTGTTCTTGGGCTTGTTTTCTTTTAAATACAAACAGTGCTGTTGGAAAAGGCACTGGGAAAAGCCACCTATGGCTCAGAGTTCACAGGCCATACTGAGGGAGTAGAGCAGTTCCCTGTGCATGGGTGACCCTCTTGAACCACCAGACAGAGCTGTTGGCCATGAGCAGGGAACTGGGTTGGCTAGGAGCTCTCCAGAGAGACGTTTGTGCTTATCTTCTCCCCTGTCCTACAGGAGCTGAAGGAAGTTGGGAAGGAGCAGCCAAAGGTGGAGGCTGAGCTACCAGCGAATGTCTCCAAGAACAGATATCCCCATGTGCTGCCCTGTGAGTCCTGTCTCTTCCCTCCTGCCCCCAAGCATCCACGGTAGAAATTCACACTGCAATGCACAGGGACAGGCTCACCTTGCATCGCTGCAGGGTTCATGGTGCCTGGCTCCTCTGCTGGGAGAAGAAGGAGTCTTGAAATGGGCCTCAGCTTCCATTATCCTGCTGGAGACTCAAGGCTTAAGGGTTGAGCCACGGCTGAGCCACCATGCTGCTCAGCTCCTCCAGGAGGCTGCTGGGCAGGTGCTGGGTAAGCCCAACTCAGGGATGGGTCCCAGCTGGATTCCCAGCTGGAGACCAAAGGGGGACCATGAGTGTCTCACAGCTTCTCTGATGAGCCTCACACCAGCTCTGCTTTCTTACACCCCTGCTAACCCAGATGGCAGGCAATGCTCACTGCTCCGGGGAGAAAGTGCCTGGCTGAGCACAGAGCTCACTGCTGGCTGTGCACATGCAGGTGCTGGGCCTTCTCCCAATGTGTTACCCAGGTGAAGAGGAGATGGCCATGTCTTCATGAAGGGCTGCCTTGGGGGGTCACATGTGTATGGTTTCTTTCAGATGACCACTCTCGGGTCAAGCTGAGCCAACTGGGGGAGGATCCATACTCAGACTACATCAATGCCAACTTCATGCCTGTGAGTGCCCACTTGCCTTCCCCACAGAGACATCAGAGAAACTGCCTGGAATGAGGTTTTGAGGGCTGGTGGGCAAGAGCTGCTACTGAAGCCACAGATGGCACAGACTGGCAAGGAGTTGGTGGTCAGGCGGAGGTGCATAGTTGCCCTTTAGCAGGGGCTGATGGAGACTGTCAGACAGCAAGTGCTGTGAATGTGGAGGTGTGAGTGTGGGTAGGCTGGCAAGGCTTTCTGCTTTCTTCTTGAGGACTCTTCCCATCATCTCCCAGCTTACTGCCCTGTCTGTCTGCCTGCTCTTTCTCCTTCTGGTCTGTGCAGCTGCATTTGAACAACCCGGGAGCTGTGCCCACATCCCCCATCCGGGAGATTTTCCCAGGTAACAGGCAGGGCACACAGCATGCAGGCGCGGGTGTGTGGATCCGTGGGGCATGTGTGTGTCAAAGGGGCAAAGGCAAAGAAGCAGCCCAAGACCTTGCATGTTCACCCTACCTTCAGCAATGACTGGGGAGCACAAGGAAGACCCAGATCTGTCCCTCCCTCGTTAGGCTAAATGAGGAACTGCTTTGAGGGAAATGTTGGGGGTCACATTTTTATTCCAAATATTTAGAAAGCATGTGCTTGGCAGCACGTGCTTCCTGTGAAATCAGCTACTTCTGCCATCAGCTGCCTGGGAACTGTGCGCGCATGGGCTAAGGGCAACGGGCATTTCTCCCTCTACTGCAAAAGCAGACCAGGCACTGGTTCGGTCCCAGGGCAGGATGCGCCTGTCTCGGCAACTTGCCAACTTCTCCTCTCTGCTTCTTGCTCAGGGCTATACATCCCAGCGGGAGTTCATTGCCACCCAGGGGCCACTGAAGAAAACAATAGAGGACTTCTGGAGGCTGGTATGGGAGCAGAATGTCTGCAACATCATCATGCTGACAGTGTGCATGGAGAACGGGCGGGTAAGTCAGCACTGCCAGGCTTTCATGTGCCACCCCCAGCCAAGCCCAGACCTGGTCATGTGAGCTGAGCCCAGGGCTGGGTTTGTGCCCTCCATCAACCCCTGCTCAGATGTGGCTCCAGGGTGAGCACAGGCCACACAGCTCCCTGACAGGCTGGGGGGAACAGATGCTGATGTGAGCAGCTCAGCATTAGCTTGGGGTAGGAAGGGGCAGGAGTGGAGCTTAGCTGGCACCATGCCCATCACCCTCAGATATTTCTGCAGCATCTGAAATTACCACTTGCCTCTGGATGAGACACATCACATGGATTGTTCCTCCAGTCTTCAAGGATGATAAGACCCTCCCCTTTTCTGTGGGGGAGACTGAGATCCAAACGAAGGAGGGGTGGGGGAGAGCTGTGCAAAGTTCCTAGTGGGAAGGGGAGGTGGGGGAGAGCTGTGCAAAGTTCCTAGTGGGAAGGGGAAGCACCCCTGCCTGCTCCTCAAGACCTGTCCTGGCTCCTGCTGCTGCTGTCCAGATGCTCCCAGGGAGACAGAAGGTCACCCAGTGGGACCTGGACCCTCACTGGCCTCAATGGGACCCCATTCTGCCTGTGCTCTAGGTTCTCTGTGATCATTACTGGCCATCCGAATCTGCCCCAGTCTCCTATGGGCAGGTCCGTGTCCACCTGCTGATGCAGAGCAGCTCAGAGGAGTGGACCATGCGCGAGTTCAAACTGTGGCACGTGAGTAAGGACCCAAGAGGACTCAGGGACCTGTCAAGTGCTTGGGGTTTGCATGGGATACAGTAGCATTTCTCTGCAGTGGTGGTGGCAAAATTTCCTTTCCCAGCCATTAGTGGGGTTCAAAGAAGACCCAGTCCCCTGAGTAGTCTGTCACTTCAGACTTGGTAACACCCAAGTGTCCAACATGTATCACCCTTGCTGTTCACCCTTGCTCTCTCCTTTCCACATCCCTGCACTGGGACACAGCCTGCAGCTTCAAGCCCATGTTCCCCAGCAGTCAAAGGCAGGTCTTCTCCTTACCACCTCCACAGGCCTCATCATGGCAGGGGATTGTGGGGGAGGACAGAGGAGCAGGAGCCACCAGACAGTGCAGCAGACCTGGTGTTTGCTGTTCCCTACAGCTGATCTGGATGTCCCCAAGTCCCCGAGTGCTCCCAGGGCTGTGGGGTGCAAGCATGCCCTTGTCCCAGCGGGCTGCACACTCATCACCAACATCCCCGCTGGCAGGAGTGTCTCCAGGCAGAGCGCCATGTGTCCCACCTGCACTACACGGCATGGCCTGACCATGGGATCCCGGAGTCCACGACTTCCATTATGACCTTCAGAGAGCTGGTTCGGGAGCACATCCAGAGCACCAAGGACGCGGGGCCGACCCTCGTGCACTGCAGGCGAGGCTCTGCTCAAAGGGACAGCAGGAAGTGAAGATGGGAGAGGGCATGAGGTTCAAGGGTCCTACTTGTGCACAAGCTGGGCGGGAAAGCCGTGCCTGGGAGACAGAGCTGGTCTGTAGAAAGTCTCTTGCTCGGGCGCTGGGCATTACAGATTGCAGTCTGCCCCCCAGTCCCAGGGGACAGGACAGCTGGAGATGGTCAGCACCAACCCAGGGCAGTCTGAATGGCTCCTCAGCCCCATGCCATGCTGGGGCCAGTCCCCTGGGGTGCAGCATCTGGGAGCCATGTCTAGCAGTAGGAGGGGAGCCCATCGGCTATGGGGTCAGACGATGCTTAACCCTGCTGTCTGCGTTCTCAGCGCCGGGGTGGGCCGCACTGGCACCTTCATTGCCCTGGACCGGCTGCTGCAGCAGTTGAAGCAGGAAAAAGTGGTGGACACATTTGGTGTTGTTTACGCCTTGCGGATGAACCGTTACCTGATGATTCAGACGCTGGTAAGATTTCTGTTCCCTCTTCCTCCAGGTCCCTTGCTCCATGGTGTAAAAGCTAGCAGGGCTGGCAGACAGATGAGCTGGCTGGCCAGCCCCAGCACCCCCCAGCTGGTCCCCAACCTGACCCTGTGTCACAGTGCTGCCCAAAGCAGCAGCTCAACTGGAGTGGAAATTGCTTGGCTGTGGGTCCTTCCAGCAGCTTCATGCCCTGCTACACCCACAACAGCAACATACAGACTCTCAGAGTCCTCCCAGGAAGCTCAGAAACACCCCAGAGAACCTAGGAACAGGATCAGGCCCTTTGCAGGCAATTCTTAACTCACACCATGTCATTGACCTGTGATCCTCCACAGCCCATCTAATATTTCCAGTACTCAGGGTTGGGACAAGGTGTCAGTATTACCCTTCAGGACAGACAGACAGTCCCAGTGGAGGGATCCAGGGGCTCTGAGATTGAAGTAGCCAGGGCCTTTTGGGTATGAATGTAGGACACCCTATCCCCATACCCACCCCTTCACGCTGTCTGCATGGTGCAACACTCTACATCATTGCTGTCTTCCTTTGCCTTCCAGTCCCAGTATATTTTCCTGCACAGCTGTATCCTGGACAAGATCTTGGAGGAACCACTCCTGGGTTTATCAGGGACAGAGAGGTAAGGGCCTGCTGTGTTTTGCCTGCCACTCTATCACTCTGATCCACATCCCCTTTAGGCAGCAAGCTAGGATCCTGACCCCAGCTTGAGCCTCGGCTCCAGGACAGAAGGGTAGGCAAACCCAGCCAGCTGTCCCACCTGGTGTTTTGAGGGGGTTCAGCGCAGGGCTGGTTGTTCCCTGCTCCCTGGGGAGCCCAGCCCAAAACTAGGTGTGAGTCACTGGGGACATTGGGAGAGCTTGGGGGACCACATCCTCCTTTCTTCCAGTGCTAGTCTCCTGGGCTACACCAATGCCAAAGAGCTGCAGTGCTCTCCTGGGGAAGGCATTTCGACCAGCCCCTGGCTTCTCAACACACAAGGGATGCCCTAGAGATAGGTTCAAACTGGAGGGCCTCATGGCAGCTGCGTGCCCTTGGGATGTCCCTTCTAAGGGAGGCCAAGAGGAGAGAGCAGGGTCAGGCTGGTCATGGCTTTGGCCACCTACCTCGTTGTCTCTGAGGCTACATCTGGAGGTCACATATCTATCTTTATATCACAGAATCACAGAATCACTAAGGT